GCAGTACAAACTTGTAGTGACCAGGCATCAAAAACTATGTCGATGCAATACTCTATAATGGGCAGAACTGAGAAGATCTTCGGCATTCTCATGCGATTCTGTTTATCAAGAATATGTGTAACAGCTTTATAATGGTCTTGTATTCATTCACATATCAGCAACTCATGTTTATAACAAATCACATTGAATTACACATGGTTCACTAAAATGCTTTGTCAGCAATTCCTAACAAATATTGCTGACAGTCCCCATGCTTGTGTTTACACAGCATATGGTTCACTACAACAACACTTTAGTAGCCACTGCTGAGTTGCTGTCACAGTTTTTGTGCGGTTGCAGCTCCATCGATGCAGCCGCCATCAACAAAGATCTTGGGGGGGCTTCAGTTAAGACTTCAGAGGATTTTATCACTGCACTGGACCTCGCGAGATATTCTCCTAGCCAGCAGGTCGAGCAGCACTCACGGATGCACCAGCTGCTGTAGGCCACTGCAATACTGAGAAGAAAACAGCAGCCCTTGATCCAGAAGAAAATAGGATCTTGTACCTGCAATGACGATTATGTACCTGGCGATACAGAATATTGAGCTGCTCCCCAACCTTGACAGGGAGGGCGGGCGCTTGCGGCAGAGCTGGACGGAGAGGGCGCACGCGGCGGCGGCAGCCGACAACAAGTGAGAAGCGGCGGCAGACGATATATTTAGGATTGGAGTGGGACTAGTGGAACTCCGAGTCTCCAGTCACGGCTTGTAACCCGTTTGGATTAAAGCGAAACTCAAACACTGTTTAGGTACCTAAACATACAATTTGATAGTTTAGGGGCAAGGTTGACACAACTTAACAAATTCAAGGACCACTATCATACTTTACTCTTTTGAGAACATGATATGCCAGGACAGATGATTGATATTGGACAAATATTTTGGACTGAGCAAGAGAAAAACAGTGGGGCAACGACCCCAATCAGGGATCCCGTAGCCAAATATTACAAAGCCAAACGATAATGACATACAGCGGGTGTCCGTTCCGTCCGGATGGACCCGCCGCACACGGGATGACTCGACCGCCCTCATCCGCTCCCGCTCCGTGCTCCTTCATCCTCATCCCCATTCTGCCACTCGCTCCCCCATCCCCCACACCCCGGCTCACTGCCACGACACGCTCGACGGATGCCACGCCCGCCCCGCCCGCCGGTCGACGCTCCCTCCCTGCCTCCCTCCCTTCCTCCCCTCCCCCCTCCACGACCTCCATTGCTACCCCGCGCTCCCCAGTGACTCAGCTCCTGCTCCCCCCACCGGACGACGGCGGCGGCTTCAACGAGGTAGGTCAGTCCTTCTCTGGATCTGAGCCCTCCTCCTCCTCCTCTGGGTCTGAGCCCTTGTCCTCCTCCTCTAGATCTGAGGGACGCTGCGGTGGCTAGGGTTCCGACGAGCTTTGGGTCATATTCCCTCCTCCCTCTGGCGAAGGTGATGGGGCCAGTGGCTGGGCAGCCTGCACCTCGAACCCATCCTTTTGTTGTTTGTACGCTTTTGCTGTTTTTCTCCTGTGTTGCAGTGGGTTTTTGGGATGTTGCAACAGATGATTTTCGAATGTTGTAATGGGATTTTTGGGTTATTGCAACATATGTTTTTCGAATGTTCCCATTTCCATGTTTCATGGTTGATTTTGCGGTGTTGCAATACTACTGCTTGAGATGTTGTAGTACATAATTTTTTATGTTGCAATATATAAATTTTGATGTTGCAGTACATATTTTTTCTGATGTTACAGTACATGTTTTTCAATGTCGCACTACATATTTTTTCGATGTTGCAGTACATAATTTTCGATGTTGCAGTACATATTTTTTCGATGTTGCAGTACATGTTTTCCAATGGTGTACTACATATTTTTGCGATGTTATAGTATTTATATCCCGATGTTGCACTACATAGTTTCTCTATATGTGTTGCAATGTTGCACTTGAAGTGTTTCGTGCTCTTTGGGACAGGGGTGTGGTGGGGGAACGGGGACAAGGGCGCGGTGGGGAGCGGAGGATAGGGGCGGGTTCCGTTCTATTCCGCGTGGGGGTCGGGCGGGTTTGGGAGGGGGAGCGGCGTCCGGACGCACTCGCGCGCCGGATGTCCGGACGCTAGAATCACCGAAAGCCAAACGGCACTGCACCACAAGCATCATGAACATAACAGTCCCAATAACACAGAATAGTGATAGAAGGATTCAGTGAAGGTTGCCAGAAAGCAACACGAAGTCCACAAAATCCCAAGCATAATTCAGATAACTTGTTATTTTTGGGAATGGTATAAGAAGTATGGAAAAGATTTTAGTTTGCTGTTATTCAAGATCAGCTCTAGCCTTTTTTTCCTCCTATGAATGGCACATTTGTCTAGGTTACGAACTGATTTTTTGTTATTTTTTAGAATGCTTTAAACATGAGTGTGAGAATTTCGTAACGTGGTTTGATTCCTCACTTGTGAGCAAGCATAAGGCTAGATGTTTTCATTCCATTATTTAAAAAAATAATCGGTAATTGTATTCGTATTTACTGTTGAATTGTGACCACGGGCTGCACGAAACCGCAAAGTCCGTTCGTGCAGAAATTTCGGCCCACCACCAGCCCCAAAAAAATCTCTCGCGTCTAAACTCAGACGCATCACCCTGCCCATGTGATTCCTCAGCCGCAAAGGTCCATCATCGCCCTTCCAGTCCTCTCCGCCCCAAATCCGATGTGCTTGCAGCCCATCCAGGCCTGGTGTATTGGAGAGCCCACTAGAACCACCGAACAGTTCCTACTATACATACAATTAATTTTTAGAGATACGGAGTATTTCTTTTTTCTAAACGCGGTTATATCTCTAAAATTAAGATAGGCGGCAGCGGCCCGTGCGCCGGTGGGGATTAGCATGCACGGTACAAGGCGCACGGCGGCGTGCATCGTAGAGATGGCAGCTGGCCCAGCGGTGCACGTGCAGGCCTAAAAATGATCAGCCTGGTCGTATTTGCCTTATAAGTTATGACTTATCAGCCAACGAACAGTATTTTTCTCTCACACCAAACCAGCCAACAGTACTTTCAGCCATGGCTTATAAGTCAAACTAGCCCAAACAAACAGTGTGGATGTCGTACTCTTTTTTCTCACTTTTCTTTTCCTTTTTACTTTTATTTTTATTTTTATTACATGTAGGTCATGTTGTCGTTCACACCAACAAATCAATTTTATTTTGAGCGAAGAAGATCAATTTCTAAGATTAGTTTGAGACTTGAGAAGCGGCCTCTACAAATAATGGCTTTCTAGAGAGATATGCTTATCAACAGTTAGGGCAGCCACAACTATAAATGGTTTATTATATTACCACTTCTGAAAATAGATTTCACGATGGTTGAAGGGACCGTGGCGTCTAAAAAGAATGAATTTACGCAATTTAAAACTAAAAGGCAATTCTCAAAAAAATAAAACAGACTTATCAAAATCTATGCAAGATATCTCTCTAGATTTCTACTATAGTTTTTCTAAGTGTTTGCTATCTCTACCGTAAAAGAGTTTTGCATCTTAAGTTCCAATCCCAATCAACCAAAACCTAGAAAGCTAGACTAGTAAGGTAAAGCACACAACCAAATAAATGTAAGTAAGGTGGAAGCCTAAATGAGATAGAGATTGCAAACTCCCATTAATGGTCAAATTTTTCCCGAGATATCGAAAAGCTCACGTTTTTCCCAAGTCCTCGTTGGAGCTCCCATAAGGAGAAGGGTAGGCAGGGTCGCGTAGGGGGACGCCATGTCACGCTGGGGAAGGAGGCGCTAAGGAGGATGGCATGTGAGGTGGAGCCTATGCTGGGGGGGAGGAAGGTGTACGTGCCAAGGGGAGGAGGCATCGCTTGGGAGCAGCTTCTAAGCGAGGGTTAGGGTATAGAGGAGGCCGTCGAGGGAGGGTTGGATGGTGGGGCGGTCAGGGGGAGTGTGCAGGGGTGGAGGCCACCAGGGACAGTGGGCGCTTGGTTGCGGCCGCCAAGGATGGTCAATGGAGGGCACTGGAGATTGAGGATTGGCATATGGTGGATTCCACCAAAAAGATTGGCATGCGGTGGATACCACTGGAGAGGGCACAACAGTGGTCGAGTGGTCGGGTGTGGGCAGAATCCAAACGGGAGAGGAGAGGAAACAAAAAAACATAAAAATAAGTGACTTTCCAGAGCCCCTAGGAATGAAGGTGATGGAAGAATTATGTGGCCTCTTGCTTTTGAGAGTCTAAGTAGGAGCTCTGCTGGAGTAGTTCTTTGGTCCACCCATGCTTAAAAGTAGGATAGGACCTTGAACAGGGATGTGTTGGACTTATTCTTATGTTCTACAAGGTTGTTGTGTTGTTGTTTGCTCACATTGCAAGGGGGGTTATTGACAAAGTTTCCTTAATTGTTTTCCATTTGTAAACCCCTTAGGGTCATTGTTTGGCCAATCCATGCCTTCTTGTTTACCAGGATAATCGGCATGTTATTCCTGTCAGCAAGTTTCACTTAGAATCATTATTATCCTAAACGGCAAACAGTCGGTCACTTCTTGTTTAGCTATTATTCAGGCTACACAGCCACTTAAACTAGGAAAACGAAGGTTTAAAGGGATATCAATTAAACGGAAATGGCGTACCATTTAAACGATATGTAAAAGGGCTACACGACCGTTTAGGCGAACCGTGCTTAGAATGGTTGGTTACCAGTCCACTTACATGAATCTTTAGCGTTTCTTTAATTTTGTGACACTTTCCTGGAGTGCCCTACGTTGCTACATCTCTGAAATAAGATGCTGTTATTACAGTACTTAAAGCTATTGTTGGCTCTTTTCAATTAATTTGCATTCAGATTTTGCATTGTCCCAGCGGCCAAATCCATCCTGTCCTGTCCAAACCTCACCCTCCTCAACAACAACGGCGACGCTAGCAGGCAGCATTCTCCATCATCCTCCTGAACTCCGGGAAGCTGACCCTGCCACCGCCATCGTCGTCGAAGACCCCGATCATCCTCTGTCAGTCCTCGTAGCGCGCACCCTCCGGAAACCCGAGCCTCCGCATGACCCCCACAGCTCCGCGGCGCAGATGAACCCGTCCTCGCCACGGTCGAACACGTGGAACGCCTCCTCCAGCTCCCGCTCGCTCGCGCTCCAGCCACCCACTGCTGCCAGCTCGGTGACGACCTCCGCGGCGCCGCACGCTCGGCACTCCGACGAGCCACTTCCGCCACCGCTGCACGTCCACCTGGGTAGGCCCAGCCGCGCCTTGACGGCGGCCGCGTCGCCACAGGTCAGCACCACCGGTTCACAGTGTGGCTGCGGGCAGCAGTAGTCGTCGTCAAGGACGGAGCAACCGACGACGGTGTCGTCTCGCGCCAGGAACTCCACGGCCGCCCTAGCGAACGCGACGATCTTGCCGGCGACCGAGACGGCATGGGCGATCAGCGGGCACAGGACGAGCGTTACCAGAGACGACGCCAGCGGGACGAGAAACTCACAGTTCACCATCTTTGCCAACATATTAAGGCCCCGTTTGAAACCTTAGAATTTCACAAGAATCCTACAGTGTGCTACGAGTATACGAAATTTCTGCGAGATTTGTAAATGTTCTCGGAATTTAAAACCGTACCAGGGCGAAATGACGCCCGGAACACTTGAAAGAGTGGAGCGGTTCATAAGAACATTTCCAAGCGTCTGCAGCCCCAACCATTTATAGCAGCTGGTCGACCACATAAGACGAACATGCTGAAATAAAAAAAAGGTTGTCTGATATGAACTGTAAAGATGCCACCATCGTTCGGAGAAATTCGGGATGAATATCTTTGTAAGGGTCGTCTGATGTGAACTGTAAAGATGTTTCGAAGCTTCCTGGAAACTTCTGGTATAGAAAGAAGACTGGGATGACGTCGTCTAGACTGTAGAGTTCGTAAAGACTGAAATGACGCCCTGTTCGTTTGGCTTATAAGCCGTACTTTTTGAGCCAACGAACAGTATTTTTCTCTCACAACAAATCAGCGAATAGTACTTTCAGCTATGGCTTATCAGCCAAACGAATAGATGGCGTCGTCTAGACTCTAGAGTTCGTAAATTTATTTTTCAATGAGGGAGAAAGAAGAAAAAAATGCGCATATAATTTATGCAGCCTGAAATGAAACATGAAATGAAATATGAATGCTATTACTCCGAAATGGGCTCCAATGAACCGGTCCAATTCAAGGTTGTTTGCCCGATGAATTGTTTGGTTCAGCTACTGTGAAGTCAAAACCGTACTAAATTTTATCAAAGTTTGTAGAGAACAGTGCTAACATCTACGACGTCAATCAAAGAGGTAAATGTGAAATACTTTCATAATGTATCTGATGAAGCTCATTTGATATTGTAAACACTATTGTTTTTTCCCCCTATAAACTTGATCAAACTTTGGATGGTTTGAATCAGAACAATTAAAGATCCTAATATTTTAAGATGGAGGGAATAGTTTACATACATCTTAATTTTATCCTAAAAAATTAATAATTTGTTTGGATTTTGGGTAACTTTCTTGTGAAAGCATATGCATCAAAGCATGACTTTACTATCTTTGAGTTGATTCGTCCAAGATTGGAGTTAAGGTTTCACACCAAGCGCCAACATAGATGATGCGGTAATTAATTCAAATATAAGAAAATTGTCACCCTAAAGTAAAGCTAACTAATGTACTCCCTCCATTCCCTAATAAATTAATTCCTGATATCATCCTAATTCAAACTATCTTAAGTTTGATCAACTTTATAATAAAATATCATCTGTAAAACCAAATAAGTATATATCAAAATATATTTCATAATTATCTAGTTACAATAATTTGCCGCCACAAATATTAGTGCTTTTTCTACTACCTCCGTGCCCAAAAAAAAAAACTTTGTTTTAGCTTTGTCCTAAGTCAAACTATCTTAAATTTAATCAAAATAGGACGCCTTGTGTAGTTGCACTGCATGCAAATGTTTAGTACACTGATATTCCATTTCCATAATTTTAGCCCCTCCGTCCCAAATGAAATCAACTTATAGAATTGTCCTAAGCCAAACTATTTTAAGCTTGACCAAATTTATACTTTCCCAAATTAAATCAACTTATAGAATTGTCTAAGTCCAACTATTTTAAGCTTACCAAATTTATAACCCCCCCCCCCCCCCCCCAAAGATTTTTTTTTTGATGTTTTAGTTTTTTTTAAGTGAACCTATCTAAAGTTTGACCAAATTTATACATTAGAATACTAATGCTTATATTACCAAATAAATATCATTAAGTCATGCAATATATTTTCACAGTATACTTATTTTGTGTTATAAATGCTAGCAAATTTTTCTATATTTTTTTTTTATTACACTGAAATTTTAATGGTTGATCACAGTAGGAGGGGTAACAACTCGCATATATTACAAAGTGCACAACATGCATTCTCAGAGGATGACTAAAAACTAGTTCAAGAAGTAGATGACAAATGATTTGTGCAAAACACATCCCATTTCACATTCTAACATGAAGAGGGGTGAACTTATTCGATGGTGCATGGAACACCTAGGAGACCCCTGCTGCTTCATACAAGCCACCATGAAGAGCTGCTTCTGCTGGTAAAGACAATTCAGTTACTCTCATAAACTTGTGACAGAATTTTGGGAGCTGAACTTAAAAGTCGATCGGCAGAGATCTATAGGTGTAACTGAAAGAAAAACAGATGCAGCTCTTGTGATGATCATTAATGCAATTAATGCAATTATATAAAAACACATAAATCAATAAGATAAGTAATTAAAATGCTGTGAGAAGGGCATAAATTTATAAGAGTTGCGGAGATCTTACATGAAGACATAAAAACATTACATCACATCTGGTGTTTGAACAATGCTAGAAAATTGGTACAAAATTAAATAACGCATCTCATCAAGTATTTTCCAAAACCACTGCAAACAAAAAGGCTAAAAGAACTACTAGTTGTATTAGAGTCTGTTGTTTGTGGTAGGCTGGTACCTGTTGCACAGTGCTGAATCTAGTTAGTTAGAGGATGCCTCTTCTAGTGGGATTTTGGCTGTTGCATCTCCAAAAAAGATGCTACAAACTAAAACTAAACCCAGATTAGAAACAAATAAGCACACGAGTCCGAAAACTTGCTAAGTGGTTCACTCGAGGTCCAAACCTCCCTAACTAGTGTTGAATTGTTGATCAGGCTGCTTGGCATCAACATGTCATCCAGGTCAATGGAAATTAATAACACCACTGTTGCACTTTATATTTTTTATTTCCCAACTCCTAGAATTTAGCAAAATTGGCAACTTTTACCAGTCAAAGAATATGGACGAAGATGGGCCAAAGCACATTTTCTAATGTGAAAACACAGGGAATATAAAGAAACAGGCTTTAACTACCATAGCTTGCGAGTTCAGAATTCCTAAAATTAGTATAAAGAAACCATCTAGTATCAAATTTCAATTTAACCAAAGGCACTAAAATACAGTTTTCCCGATTGGAATGTTTAATGTGCCAATATATCATAAGCATCACATGCACCATCAATAAAAAAAAAGGGCAGACCCAGTGCCGGAGGCTCCCACATAAGTGGAGTCTGGGGAAGGGAAAAACCGAGGCAAGCCTTCCCCCCGCAAAATCTGCGGAGAGACTGCTTCGAACCCGTTGCAGAAGCATAATATTAGCCAAAGAACTCTACTAGCACAAGAACTCTTAAGTCAATGGTTGCAGGAGACATAATATTTTTGAAAAAAGTATGTCAAGAAAGCAATTGTAAATCACTAACCTTTTAACTGGAATATTATGATCCAATAATTTCCTTATAGGGCTGGTTATTAGCCAAAGGAACCTCTACACTTGGGGGACCAACATAAGCAACTTTTAGACTTCCGAAAACTAGAATGGGTTCCCATTTGAATATTAGGATGGTTCTGACCATAATCATAGGTAAGCTCTGTCATTGGAGGAATATGCTTAATTGCAAAGAATGCAATATGTGGATATCCCTCAGCACCATGATCATACAAAACTGGTTGCCAAAACACATTAGGTGAGCAGCTGTGGTTCATAAAGCGAGCTATGTTGCCGGTTCGTTTTGCACTGATGACTATAGGCAGTCGCTTAGGTGTCTCATTTGAGTCAGAAAGACTAGGTTCACCCAGCAACTCTGGTGCATAGTTCCATCTTAAATTCTGCTCTGAAGGAGAAGTCTCAAATATGTAGTCATCTTCACCATTCATGCTATTTCTGTCAATGATTTCACCTGCATATTCACAGATAAATGTGCCAGCTCGAATTGGATCCCAACTACGGAGGCCCCAACCACGTTCTCCTGTCTTAAAAACTTCAAAACGGATCTGCGTACCTTTCTGTACAACTCGGTTCCGGCAATTTTGTGAACATGTACAGGAATCACCACACTCATATAAAACAGGCATGCGGCTAACAAGTATGCCTGAAGCACTGTAAGGAAGGTCACCAGCATTTCGATGCGTACAAGAGCAGTTGTTATCACCAGGGAGGCACACACTTATGCATTTGCAACCTTGCATCTTTCTCATCGAGCTCAGAGAATTCCCATATGTCAATTTAGTTGTATAGGTGAAGTGGTTAGGGCCCTTCTCATCGTCAACCTCATTTACAAGGCAGACAGGGTTACTTTCCACACCATATGATATGTCAAGCAATATAACATGGTCTCTAGATGATGGATTTTCCCTCCATTTTTCAGTCTTCTTCCACACTGCAATGCCATCAGGTTGGCCAGGTTCCCTAAGCAACTTGTGTTTAAACACGTTGAAACCAGATTTCCCTTTCTCTACCCAGGCTTCTTTGATCTTGTAAAGGCCATCATATATGTAAATCTTGCCAGTTGGACAAGTCATATCTTTTACGCTACGAATGACTCTGATTGGATTACCTCTATGCAAACTCCTCTCCAGTGCAAGATTACCCCTCTCAAGTTTTTGGTCATCCTTACCAGACATGCCCTGTCCAGTGTAAACTAGAACATCTGGATCATCTTCAGTGTTATCATATACACCAGCTGATACAACACTAATAGCTACAGGGTCCTCCTCATTACCAAACTTAGCAGACATGTAATCTATCCCTGCCATGCTCTGACTATTCAGCCCCACTAAGCACATCTCAATTCTGAAGTAGAACATATCACCAACCTCAACGCCTGGAACCTCACCTATCCTCTTGTTCTTATTGACACGAAGTTCAGCATTGATCATGATGCTCCCAGCCTTCAAGTTAGGCTGCTGCTTTGCAACTTGTTTCACGTCATCCATCTGCATAAGTCTGCGTCGCAGAGCGTCAAACATCATGAGTACATTATCTGCAGTTTGCCTAGGATCATCTGAAGATAAAGATGGAAGCTGTAGCAGACTGGTGTCAATTTTCCTAGGTCGTCCACGTTTCACTGTGTCAACAGCATCACCATCTATTGAAAAACCTGAATGACTTGATGGAGTCGCTGAACCATCAAGCACGCGCTTTGGACGTCCCCTCTTCCTCTTACCACTTTCGGCAGGTGCGGCAGCAGAAAGTGGCTGGGGAGAGGACTCACTACCTTTTGAGTGAATTGGAGTGGCAACATCTGAACTATCCTGCAAACGTTTGGGCCGTCCCCTTTTCCTCGTACCAGATTCATGAACACTGGGCCCTGGAAGTGTCTGAATAACAGGCGTGCTATCTCCTTGGGAGGTTGGAGGAGCCATTACAGGAACATCTTGTACATGTTTGGGCCGTCCCCTCTTCCTCTTGCCAGATTCTTGTGGGGCGTCTGAAGAAGGCGTCAGGGAAACAATAATGTTACCTTCCTGAGGAGCTGAAGGAACTGGAGGAATAGTAGGAGCCAGAGGAGCTGAAGGAACAGAAGCAACAGCAGTATCAGGCACACGCTTTGGCCTGCCCCTCTTCCTCTTACCAGATTCCTGTGTGGCAGCTGACGGAGGAGTTTGCAAAGGTGTGACCAAACTGTTGACTGCAGTACCATTAGCTTGAGAAGCTCCGTTCATATTAGCTGTATGCAACTGTCTCTGGCTGGGCTCTGCTTCTGCAGCAGGTGTGGGTGCTGCAAACATTGGTGGAACAGCAGGCGACCCCAATTCAGTGCCTCCAGCATATGGTCCAAATGGGGTCACACAAACAACTGAAGGTGAGTTTTGAGGAGTGAATGTGTGAAGCCCTAGTGGTGCAGGGAACATGGGAGTCAATGTACGCAAGGGCTTGGCATCAACAACTGCTGCATCATTCAGAGGAACTGAAGCCATTTGCTGAGCCATTTTAAGAAACCAATTGATCTTTCGACAAATCAAATTTTATGCCACTATTTCCTTCGTGCTTTCCTCTAACACTAGTTCACAGCTCATACTTTGTGGAAATCTGAAAAAGAGGGGGAGAGATCAATCAGTGTTGTGGTATAAAAATGGAACAAGGAGTCAAAACATATGATTTCTTATTGATTAATGCATCATTTTTGGCATTTTTTTCTATTAGCATCCAAGAAGAAATATCAGATTAGGAAATACTAAAGCAATTGTTGTACAGATTTCTATTTCTAGCTTAATAAATAGGAACAGGAGATAGCAATGCTAGTAGCATAAGCAAGTTAAAGTAGCAATTTCAATTGTAAGTGCCAACTTAAAATAGCATCACAAGAAAGATTTAAAAGCATCTAGAGTAATCAGACATGCAAATGTCACAAGATATGCCTGACAAATGAGTCAGTTTCAAGAAACCAAGAGTTGCATGGAACTTGGATTTCCAGAAGCAAGGCAGATCAGATTATAAATGTTGCTGCAGGCACCTTGTAACAAAGCAATTACTCATTCCAGTATAATAAGTCAGATGGTACTTTTGTACATGCATTTTTCAAAGCATGTTTACCCAGTAATTTGAGGTATTTGCAAGTACTTAAGTTGTAGAACAGAAACTGGCACAAGTACAATATCATCAAAAGTACTTTCATATCATTAATAAATAAATTTATATCTCTTTACTGAATTCTAAAAACAAAAATAACAGTCATAAGCTTAGATAGCTTTTATTATTACAATTCTAGCACAAGTTTTTGCTAGGTCCTACATATACGTTTACAGTCTAAATTTTGGTTAAGCACAGGTCAGAAAAAAATTGCCACTCTCTCTAGCAGCATGTTGGAATAAGAATAACAAATTGCGGTCAGTAACAGAAAAGAAAGGCTGGAGAATGTTTGGAGACAATAAAGAAAGGTAAATGGTGCTTAGAAATAACAGGGGGGAAGCTAGTTATTATTCATTAAATTTGCCAAAAGTTAGGTGATTAATATTGCTGCCTCCATATCCGGCATGCTATGGGTCCACGATGCTCTGCAGCATTCTTCTTATACCATTATGCAAATGGGTGTAGCAAGAAAAAATTATACCGCCCAGGCGACTAGCCAGTGCCGGAGCCAGTGAATCGGCATGACTAGGGCCAGCAATTAAGCGCGTAAACGCCACACACCGGTTCACATATCCAGAGACAACATGCTACTAGCACTAAAATTGGAGGTAATCGAGGCAGCCTTGTTTAAACAGACTTCGGATCTTGAAAATGATACAGACTACCCTTACTGGGAAGAGGAACGAAGGCAATAAGTCTAGTACAAATCTACAAAACTGGAGCATATAAATACGTAATAGGACACTTAGATTTCAATCTGTGCAATTGAAATAGGATGGGTCATGGGGCAGGAAAGAACTCAGAAGTAAACAACCTGCTGTCCCTGAGTCCCTGTCCTGCTGCACGCAGCAAGCCTCCACCTCGACCTGCAAGCCGCGGTGGGGATCTGTTTCGCGTCGCCCAGCCGCCCGGCACACCAGCATGCAGCAGCGCGCTGCGCGCCAATGCCGGCCGCACGGGCACGGCGCGGCCGATCCAACCGTGGCGGTCGTGGATCGATTTGGTCGCGACGCTGGTACGGAACTAATTTTGCCGCGTCGTGCCGCTGCCGTCGGTCCCTGGATCGATCTGGGTGCGCAGCTAGGGTTTGGGTGTGGCCAGTGGCAGTGTGGGCAGATGCGGCGACGACGCGAGTGCTGAGGAGCCGAGGACGGCGACGCAGATGAGGTCATCAGGCGAGGCGAAGGCTGTTTGCTCGGTGCTGGGCCTTGGCACTGCTGATGGCAGAGCTGAGGCCCATATTGGTAGCACTACTAGCACTAAGGAATGTAAAAAGTACCGGTTATCCAATTTTCCTCATTTACAAAACTAGTAATTTTTACCTTCCTTCAACTTTCAAAGTTGTTTATTCTTGCACTTTGGGTGATCTTGATAGTGATTTTGCTGATGTGGCGCCATATCAAGAGGGATAAATCAGACTAAGTTAAAAATTTATGAAGTTAAATCGAAGTAAAAATATTTTTTCTAAAGAAATATCCAAAAACTCATAAAAATATTTTTCCAAAGAACTTATCTGGCATTACAATACATAGATGTACAATTTGTTGCACGATATTCGTGCAAATGATAATGAGCCACTTTTTTTTTTGCTAGATTTAATCGGGCATGGCCACACCCTAAATCAAATAAACTCTAATGCTCATAATAAATACTATTGCGATAAAAGATTAATCTTGTATAAGAAATGGATAAAAGACTGACTCAACTTAATTAAGTGGCTATTATGTGTACTTATTATGAGTTTAAAAAATGTGGAAGAAGAGCCACACACCGCAACACGAACATGCTCGAGTGGCTAATCCAGGACATAAATGGTTTTTGTAGTTTCACATGGAGAAAGTGAAAGACCAGATTGAGGAACAAACGGACGAAGGAGAGAATAAGAGATGAAAGAAAGAAATTTAACATTTTTAATATTAGGTATAGAAAGAGATGACAGACCGAAGAACTGACACATCGGAGACAACGGACACATAAGGGAGAAAGTCAACATGGCCTAACACGGAAACTGGCGTAAATATATAGACTAATTTGACTTGTATAACTAGCAAAATGTTGATTTTTCTATATTATACTGTGGGGCCAGAACAATAACATGTGGAAACCCAGCAACATTTCTAACAAAACCAATGCATCCAATAGGAATTAGTACAACTCTGAACTCTTTCTAGAACCGAATGAAAATTACATTTCTTTCCTTTACTGATCCAGAGATGTGCTCCTTGTCAAGATAACACTATGAACAATGACCAAAATGCTCGAAGAGAAGCAACTGCCAGCCTACGGCTAGAAAATAACCAAGTGACTAAAGAACTAATGAACTACCTGCTTCATTTTCCTTGGTAACTAAAAGAGACAGGAAGAGAGGTCTGAAAAATGGACCATGATGGGCAGTAAACATATCGTGACATAAACCGGTATGCAACACCAACATTGAACAGCTCTTTGCAGAACCATCCGGCTCAAGCTCGCTGAGTACGAACGGTGCTCCAAAATGGCACCAAGACTGCAGTGGATGCTCGGCACCACAGGCAGTCACCGATACAGTATTTGCCAAGCTCCTTTCGTTGGGCACCCCCCTCCCCCTGGTCCGAGAAATGAACTGCTGCGGTGTCTATGCTTCAAAGAGAACGATGGCTACCGGATTTAGGTTTCCCAAAATACGGTCCACCTTCAACATGAGCCTGCTGTTTTATCCTAGGAGTTCAATGGTCTTCTTAGTCCACTTTCCATCTGTAAACGAAAATGTCAGAACCATGTCCCAACACATGTCCAAGTCAATGAAACTGCATACCTACACAAATGCAATGCATCTGGTGTGATGTAGTTTTACCGTGTAATTGTGCAATGTGCCAATGCCATTGGTTTGGGACTTCAGGCACTAAATTCAAATGAAAAATTATGGCACTAAGTTCAAACGGAAATTCTGAAAACACTGGTGAAGGTAATCTATGGCTGTATCAATAGCATCCTGAAATTTTTCAAATGTAAACTTGCAAAGAAATGTGTGCAAATAACAATTAAAAAATGTCCATAATGTAGATTCCAACTAATATGTGCAGCTCCAACTCCTTAACATGAACATTAACCAGTAATTTCATCAGTATGGTGTATTAGGCAGTCAGCCAAAAATGCCTAATGTGCTTAGTGTTAACAAAAATTTGCTTTTGACAAGCTGCCCCAAATTCTTCATCATGCCATTATTTATGGCATTGAAATTTCAGTCGTTTCCTTTTTCACCAATAAGCCTGTGAGTTCCCCTTAGTCAGAAGACAGGCCAATCACTAGGCAGCCACCTGGGACAACACATCATGAATCTTCCAGCATGCACTAATTTGTTCTACTATCACTTTCAGTTTGACCATGTTTGCTAGAAGGAAAGCATACAAAATTTTGATCTTATGACCAAGATATCTCCACAAAGTGACAAAAGAACCACCCAAAGTATTGATCATCAATGTTCACAATTTGATCTAATATAAAGTTCAAATTAGTCCTCTTATGCTACCTAACTGATGGATTTAAGCCTAAAGGAGCGAAAAAGTGCTGAAGACAGACAAAGCAAATAAACAAAATGTGGCAAAACAAAAGGAGCAAAAATTCAGGTGCACAGCGGACAACTGGTTCACCCTTACTGGTAAAACACTTTTTTTCTCTGTCATAATGGGCAGCACAGAATAGGGGCATTCTCATCAGAACCCTCAGCCAATGGGCAGATAGCAAATAGAAGATGGCTAAACTTGGAGAGCACATGATTCACAATAGATTAGGGAACAGTGGCTGACTGTAGATTGTTACTGTTTTTTTCCAAGCAGACTTATAAATGCTAAGATGGCAGAAACAGGCAATGTCAAAATTGAGTAAGCAAAAACTAATAAGACACCTATATCCACACTTGTAATATATCAAGTCAGAATTCAGTTTCTCCATCTGATTATTAAGCAGTACATGACATTTAGTACTGGACATCCACAAACCAATGAAACCAGTTCAAGAGAGCATCACGGAACTAGGGATCTATAGCAATAGCATATTAGCATCATAGGTTGCTACTAAGTTTTCATCCTACCATACTGATTTATTGAGAACACAAGATTAATTTTGTTCACAAATTATGCAGAACCTGCATGCGCATTCATACACTCAACTCTAAGCTTAAAAATTGACATAAAGGTCTTAACAATTTGCTGGGGGCCTTAGAAGGCCAGGATTCCAATATATAGAAATCCTCTAAGAATGAACTGGTTGTTTTGCAATTCCAATCATCAGGTATCACTTACATCATTAGCCAGAAGAGATCTACAAGCAAAAGATTTAAGTCGTGGAGACTGGCCCGCAGATGTTGAACCACTGTCATTACTACCACTTTGTTTATCACCCTGCACCTGCAAACAGAGGATTCCTTTTGTAAATTAACATACTACAACCTTGTACATGTTGCAACTTTGACAACAGTTGCAGCATTGATAAATGACTCAAGTGTTGCATAGACGAGCCATTTGCCCCATTTGTACCAGAGGGCTACAAAAATATCCTCATGAAAAGTGCAAACAGTATATTTACAATTGAAGGAGTCAGAAAGTAACATCTTCAACCTCGGCAAATGCATTACAGAAAAAAACTCAAAATCAGCATTGTGCTTGTACTATGCTATATTAGAACACAACCAAAATCTTGATGGAAATGAGAATAGAGAATTACAAATGACTTAATATAATCAAAGAGACTGTGCAGTCTATTGCATGAAATTTTGTGATATTCTTAAGTTAGATCCAGTCAATTTTACAGTTTAGTAGACACCATAATTATCACATATAAATGAAAAATCTAGCCATCACATACTTCCTCCAATCACAAATACAAGTCCATTAAGACATTAAGACAGTCTCCAATATGACACTTTTACAAGCAATATCTGTCAAAATACATTACCTTAAGGCCTTGTTTGGATGTTGTCGTATTCACCTCAATCCACATGTGTTGGAGTGGATTGGGGTGGAATTTAGTTCAAGTTCCACTCCAATCCACCCCAACACACGTGGATTGATGCGAATCCGATTACATCCAAACAAGGCCTAAAAGAAAAGAGATATATAAAAGTATTTTTCATAATGAATCTATTAATTTCAATCTTGCGTTGTTAGTCTATACAAAATTTTACATATTGACTGTCAAAGTTAAAGAAAAGTTTGACTTGGGAGAAGTCTATATGGACTCATATTTACAGTCAGAGAAAGGAACTAAGATAGGTTGCTTTTTTTTCTTGTTTCTGTACCAGGGAAAAAAATCCTGACCAGTTTTTCAGTGGCCATATCCATATGGAAGCCGCCTCTATCCCAAGGGAAAACAATTTGGGTGGAGTAGCTAATAAAGTTTTCCCATGTTACCACAAATCAACTGTACTTAGAAAATCAGTGAACTATACACAGTTGATTCTTGCGAACCTGAGTATTACATAAACTTCAAATTCCATATGACGGCTGAAATGGTCCACATTTTAGAAGCAGTCCAAAAGTATAGTTCAAACATGTATTTATCAAATCTGTGCAAACGTCTTCACAGAGAAAAGAGCTACTTACATGAAAATAGTGCAATTAAGTAGCTCAGTATTACCAGAAGAATCGAATAGATACTTTATACTTTATTATACTCTGAAACTATCTCGTTGGTACTTCTTCAGACAAATAAACACATCAAAAGATGTACACCAAAGATTTTGCTATGTAATACAGTGAAACTTTTCTAACGAGCCCATAGCACATTCAGATTCTTAATTTATTTGTCACTGAGATTAAAGTAGGTGGTCTAGAGAAGACAAATTTATTGAGATAGAAAGATACACAAATTTGACAGAGGTATTTGGTCATCCTATTCTTTCCCCTAATAAATTAAACATTGAATGAAAAAGAACAGTGTGGCAGAAACTAGAAGGTAATACCTGATGATTGCATGCATTGTTTCGAACATCCTCGAACAGTGACGAGTAGTAAGAAGGATCATAGATTGAACCTCCCAATATATCATCTGCCATGGAACTCCGTCTAACTGAATCAGATCTAGAGCTTAAGAAACTATTTCTTGCTTCATGGTTGGTTTCAAAATATGTTGGCGTGGTGGAAGAAGCCCCTAACCTATACATCTGAATCCATAAGAACGAAGACAAAAACCTGACTGAAAACCCAATGATTTGCATCCACAATGCTAGTCTGAGTGAGAAAACAAAAAGTTGACCATACTTCTCATCAGGAGTAATAGTCCTGTATGATTAGAAGACAAAGTTAGGAAACAGATTATGACACTAGAAGAATGTTGTTGTGCCTAAAAAGAATTACACAAGCAGATTTCTCTACACTCATCCAATAGAACACATGCACTACCCAGTCAATCAGTCACAAGTAAAATGCTTTTGATATTGATACATGATGTCAAACTCATATCTAGCCATTAATCTCTACTGTAACAACTTTGCACAATCAGAATGTTACGAAAATAAACTTCGAGACAAATATATACATATCATTTTGCAAGTATAATCTAAAGGCGTACCCAGCAGCAGAGAGCTCCCCGCCTGTATGGGTGAGGGGGAAGGTGTCGTGGCAAGCCTTACCTACTTTTGCAATGCTTGAGGAGACCGCGACTCGAACCCGGGACCTTCCGGTCACAGGTGGTAAGACTCTACCGCTTGCACCAGGCCCGCCCTTCGCAAGTATAATCTAAATGTTCCTAAATATACGAAAGTAATGGTTTAGAATATATGATTACACACATACTAAAGCTTCACTTGATGGAGTACCAAAGCACTTGTGCTCCAAAGTTATAAGTTTCAATAATCATAGTAATGACTCTAGTGAGATAATGGAACAAGTTGAAACCCATATAGGTAGTCATTGCATGACAAGTCATTGCCAAATCAATTATTATACAGTGTTGAAAACAATTAGTTATGCCATGCAGCCATGGTGAAAGATGAATAAAGAAACCCACTCAAAAAAAAATCAGTCAATTAAGCATACGATTATAGAGAATATCACATTCCTTTCTAGGTGCCAGATTCACATTGCACCAAATGAAAAAATTGGGGTAACTAAACTGAAAGATGGTGACTGCTGAAGACATACCAGATAGCATGTGAGAAGAGTATAAACCAAGCAACGTCAAGGACGACAGCAAAGAAGAGAAGGACAGCATATGTCCGGCCAAGTCTCTGGCTACTGCTCTCAATTGCAACAACAGCAAATAGACCAATCACCAGGTTGATCACAAGAACCCCATTGAACAATGCCCCAAGTGATCCGATCAGCGCACAAACAATCTAAAACGAAAATTGATGAAGTAACTATGAGCATGAATACCACAACTTCGTTAAATTCAACTTCTGCTGAATGAGGGCCCATTTCAACATTATAAGAATTAAAGTCACATAATGATCAAGACAACCAAACAAAAAGCAAGTACTCTAAGTACCAGCCGAGCTAACTATGTAAAACGCTAACCATAGCCAAGCGTCATCGCATTGTAAACCGACCGGTTTCCCTTCACTGTTTCACCGACTTGATAGCTAATTCAACATAATCATGTCTAAGGTATTCACTTAGTCGCATCTAGCAAAAGCTGACTTGTATGGTTGTTTCCAACAATGTAAGAAACACAAAGACAACAACAGAAACTGACCAAATTCAGAGAACGAAAATCGCAGTATTAAGCTGCAAGGCGCAGTTATCTGTAAACGTAACTGAACCTTAAAGCTTCATCCAGAAGCCTACTAGATCAAAACCCAAGCATCAAGCGATCTCACGCCTAAAAGAGAAAAAAATAAGTGGAACCCTAACTGAATTGCATTCAACCAAACCACAATTCCCCATCGCGTTCAACGACTACAACTACTGACAAAATTGAGGCAGCCAAAGTAACGCCCACTACGCTAGGAAACACTAGAGCACGCTCCAACCCGATACCGCCACCAGGTTTCACATCACAGGCACTAAAAGCAGCAGCGAGCACAAGAGCAGAAGTAAGCCGATCTCGCGGGAGACCGGCAAGCCGCCGCCGGGTGGGGCCAGGCCGATCCGGCCGTCGGAGGCGACAGCCGACAGGGGAGGGGAATGCGCACCTGGAGGTAGATGAGTGCGAGGGCGAGGGACTGGAGCGCGTCGTAGTCGCGGAGGAAGGAGCGCAGCCGCGGCCCGACTCCGAGCAGCGGCGGCGGGCAGCAGGGCATCCCGACCCCCGGCGAGCCCGGGCGGGGGCGGGGGCGCGGGAGCCTGGCTGGCGGCCTCTGGACGGCGCGATCGGGGCGGGGAGCCGGGGAGGCGAGGAGGAATCCGAGAGGAGGATTCGCCGCAGATTCGCGTCGTGAGTCGTGAGGGTGGGGTGGAGGCGGTGGTGGAGAATCTGCCCTCCGGCCTCCGGCGGATGTTTTTTTTTTCTTTTCTGTCTGTTATTACTAATCGAGGGAGTCTTGAGTGCGAACGGTGAAAGGGCCGTGACGTGAAGGGCGCTAATCGGGGCTTTGTCATTGTTTGGGAAATTCTTTTCTTTTTTTTCTTTTCCTGATTTGAGTCATCCGAAAATCTGTTCTGATCTGACAAGTTTTTTTTTCCAAGTGACCTGTGGTTTCAAGCTACAGCTCTAAGCGTGTGTTTAGTTCACTTAAAAAAAACGTGTGTTTAGTTTTATATCTACGGTTTTTTTTTTTTTTGAAAAAAGTCTATTTTTGGCCCTCCAACTATGGCTGCAGTTTATTTCGAGCCCTCTAACTCGAAAAACAGACACGCGCAGTCCTTTAACTCTCAAAACCGTTTAAAATTGGCCATCGCGCCCATTCGACCGTGGTTTCGGCCTAGTCAAACTCGTCACGACCGCGGTTTCGGCCCAGTCCTCATCCCTTCGCGACTACTACGTGGTCAACGAGCGAGAGCAGAGAGGGAAGGAGAGAGAGCGCGCGCGCAGGGCGGAGCAGAGGGGGCAGAGAGCACTGGGGCACCGGCGGCGGTCCTGGGGCCTCGGCGAAGCAGGCTCCGGCGTGAGCTGGGCGGCAACGGCGCTCGGCATGGAGGGGCGGCTCGCAGCAGCCCAAGGCGGCGTCCGTCTCGGCGCGACGGCGGCTTCAGTCGTGGCGGCGCGGCAGGCAAGGGCGGCTACGAGCGGGCACGGCGTTCCTGCGGCCTCGTCGCGTAGGGCTCCGTGGCCCATGCGGCTCGACAAAGCAGAGCGGAGTTAGGTGAGCGGCCTCCTGCGGTGCTCAACTCCAGTGCGATGGCGAGCAGTGGCTAGCCCGTTCTGCGACGGCTGCGGCGAGCACGGCTCTAGCGGCTTCTTCGAAGGGCCGTGGACTAAGGTGGCCTTCGGGTCCAACAGTGATCAGCCGATTTGGGCTGGCAGGAGGTCGGTGGCGGTCTCCGACGAGCCGAGGCAGAGCTCTGTTGCGGGGCTGGCCACGACAGGAGACTGAGGGCGTCGGCGGCTGCCCGAGGTGGAGGCCAAGAGAGGAGGGGCGTTCCGTTGTTCCTTGTTGAAAGTGCATCTAGCCCTTTAGTGGGTTTTGGATGATTGAATGACAACGTGATTAAAGGTCTAACCCGTTTGCTAAGTGTGGACAGGTAATAGGTTATCTCACTGGTACTTAATGAAAGCCAAAATGATATGTTGTTGTATAAACAATCTAGTTCAAGCACAAGACAATAATGCAAATGGAATTCATGCAAAGGCTTGTTTATTGTGGGATTTTTATGTACTATGTAAAAGCAAGCTTGTGAGAATTAATTAATGAGATATAAGGGTTTGTATATGGAATGGTCTCATATTTGAAGCTTGCTAAAATTAAAATAAAAAATATAACAATACATGAATGAATGATTCAACACAAGATGTGACTTGATGGCTTGAGATGGTGAAGATAGCAAAAAAAGGCTTCGAGGTACTAAGCAAGGGTGAAGGGCAAGCGACGGCTTGGCGGCCGAAGAACCTAACTAGGGTGAAGAAGAAAGTACTTGTATTTAGTTGATGTACTAATCAAGCTATGATGGTCATGTTTATGTGAAGGATCAAATCACTATTTGAGTGTTTGATGGAAGTGGCTTGATACATTTAGGATTATTCAAATTTGATGAATGGAATCAAGTCACGTGCTCAAGATGGCTATGCTCAAGTGAAAAGATCAAAGTTGACATGTTAGCACCCTCACTTGATCAAGATTGGAATATACGGCTTCGGTTGAAAGAGAACAACTCAAAAGGTTTAAATTCATTATACATTTGAATTTGAGTTAATAGGAATGCCGTACTATTAAGAGGGATGCATCATGTTGATAGATAATGTTTCATAAGTGCTCAAGCCAACCCATGTGAGTTTTGAGTATTTGAGCGACAAAAGAACTTACTTTATTTTTGCTGGTCTGGCAATACCCGGACGTGTCCGGTATTTGCCCAGCAGTGGTAAAATTGTTGTTCTCGGGTTGGTTCGTCGGGAGTTCCGATGGTCGGGAGTTCCGGCAAGGGTCAGGAGTTCTGACGTCTCGCACTTTAACTGACTTGGAGGGTTCACTGTCCTGGTCATACCGGACGTGTTCGATATGCACGACCAGAGGCCAACGGCTAGTTTTCAAAAGCCTTGAGGGTCGGGAGTTCCGACACCTCACATACTTTAACTCAGTTACATGGTTTTCAAATTTGCTGAGGGTTGGGAGTTCCGACGTGAGTCGGGAGTTCCGACGGTCGGGAGTTTCGGCATTCATCGGGAGTTCCGACGTCTCACATTGTCTCTGTAACTTAGTTACCGTTGGTGCAGTGTAAGTCATACCGGACGTGTCCGGTATTGCAACGGCTATAAAACGGCTAGTTTCTCCAAGGGGGCTATAAATACCCCCAAGCCTCCACCTTTGGAGGCTGCTGATTCTGCTGATATAGACACACGTTTTTGAGCCTTGCCAACTCTCCCAACCCTCTCTTAGTGAGTGATTGATCAAACTTGCCAAATCAAATTGTGGGTTGAGTGAAATTCAAAAAGAGAGCAATCCAACCACTTGAGCACTTGTGCATATTGTCTATCTCATGATTTGCATTTGTTACTCTTGGACTCTTCGGTCCTAGACGGTTAGGCATCGCCGGAGAGCACCCGAGAGATTGTGGTGTGCCTCGGAAAGTTTGTAACGGTCGATTCCGCCGCCTCGGAATCAATTAGTGGAAGGAGGAAAAGGAGTTGGAAAAGACTCCGGCTAGAGTGACCTTCGTGGTACCCTCTAGGGCTGACCTTCGCTAGGTCGCCTTGTAACAGAACTGACCAATTATACGAAATTAAGTAAGAAAATCACCCGCTAGAGCAGACGATTTAGCAAACTTAAGCCCGTATAACCCGGTAGTCCGTGAAATCACGAAGGATTTCAAACCAACTCACATACCAGCCAAGATCGTAATAAGTTTAGCGGTCACCATCACATATTACATAAAAGTTCACCCATGGTCCTAAACATCACCCATTGCAGGATAAAGGCAGTTGATACAGTAGCCTAATTAAGCCCTAATTATGCATAAAGCAACATTTGGATAGAAAAATGCATTTGATTAAACCAATGCTTCACTAATTTCTTAATCATGCATAAAGCAACATTTGATTAAACCCTAATTAATAATAGGTTTGAATAGCAACATCTATTTTTATAGCATAGAAAAATCTTAGAAAATTACCATAGCACAGTACTACCCTAAGTAGTCTACCATCAAATTTTTATGGCATTTGGATAAGTGGAATAGCCTACACAAAAATGACAAGCTTGGACCTAAATATGAGCATGAAAATACTTTGTATTATGAAAAGTGTCAAACAACAGATTTAGTATTTTTCCTATGATCTTCATAGCATACAATCACTGTACAAAAATTATCAAATGCATGTTTTATACAAATTTTGCTCTCTAGCAAAAATAACAAAAATCAGCCATTAAAGGCACTTGAACTACACCTCATAATTTTTCTACAAGACATGCATGGCATATATTTTTCATAGAAAGTACATCTCAAGAATAGATCAACCAAATTGGAATCATAATTTTTTGATACATATAGGATTTACTAAACCTTTCACAAGATATCAGCAATATCAAGAATTAAATAAAGCCCTACATTAAAGTATCTCAAAAATGACATGCAATATTTTTATCATGTAGATCTGGTGACAAGAAACACAACAAAATTTGTTTCATCAATTTTGGAGCAATATAACTCGAGATATACATTTTACAAGCTTTTTAAATCAATTTTGAAATCATTTTCTTTAAAACTGAAATTCCACCGACCCAAAACTGCTAGGTGTACCCGGTGCAGTGCACCCAGAGGTGCTGCCAGGCGAGACCCGTGGTCAATCCGGGCCCACTCGTCAGCCGAAGCCGAGAAGGGGCCGTCGCTGACCGGTCGGCTTTCGCCGCCGGTGAGCTCGCTGGCGGTGAGGTCACCACCAGGGGCTCCCCGCAACGAGGCGGACCCGATGCGCCAAGAACGGGCACTAGAGGAGCTCGGAAGGGAGCTCGACGGTGTGCATGGCGGAACAGTGGTGCGGCTCGTCGGTAGTACGCCGACTCCGGTCACGGCAGGGCACAGGGAGGCGCGCACGAGGTTTGCGGGGGCAAGGCAGTGCTAACGCGCGTGAAAATGGAAGGAAAAATGGAGCGAGAAGGGGAGATCCATGGAGCCGTGCTACTCCGGCAAGAACGGCCGTGCTCCGGCGAGCAATAGCGGCCGGCTCGAGCCTTACCTTGTCGAACGGAGACGAGCACAAGCTGCGCGAGGTGGAGGCGGAGCTGCTGGCGAGATGGAGCGGCCTACGGCGAGAAGTGGTGGCCGGGCGAGCCGATTTCGGCGAGGCAGCGCGGTGGTGGCAGAGGCGAGCGTGTGCTACTGCCGTTGCTGCTGCTGACCGAGCGAGAGAGAAAATGAGATGGAGGAGGGGGAGGCAGACGCGACGCGGCGGGTGTAGGCGCGATAGGAGGGGCGCAGGGCAGGCCGGCGGTGCCGCGCGACGTGCTCGCCGGCGCATGGCCGCCACGCGGCGTGCGCGTTCTGGCGCGGTCGGGTGAGTGCACGGCGAACGGGCGCGGCGCGCGGGAGCAGGAGCGCGACGCGGAGGTTGGCCGGGCCGGCCAGTGCGGCTGGGCCGAAAGCGAGGCGCGAGGCCCATTCAAGGAAAAATGATCTTTTTCAAATTCTTTTCTCTCCCAACTTCACTCAA